TTTCCCTGCCACTCCCCATTCTCATGCATGGGTTGTGTTGTATGGCTTGGTACAGATACAGAGAGATGTATTGTTCATGCCCTGCAATTATCAGAACCCCCCAGCCTCCAAGAGATAGTCCCAGCACCTGCATTATCTGCAGGCTGCTAAAGGTCCTGGGGGAGATGAGCAAAGTCAGAGCTTGAAGATGCCTCAGACTGTGGCACACAGTTCAGAAAGAAGTGTCTATAGCTAGAAATAAGTACATGTGTGCTGTCACTGGACCAGATCAAGAGCCTGAATCTCCCAGATATACTTTCCTTCCTGCTTGGGTTTCATTGCTGGTGAATGCAATGACAGAACACATAAGTAGACTATGGTTACCCATGTCACCTAAAAAGACCTTGCTGTAGTGAGTCAAATGACTTACTGCAATAAGGTGTGCAAGTAGGAAAAAAATAACCAGGCTGATAAATTCCGCTCAGGTAATTAGAAATCCTAGGAAAAACAAAATCCACAACAAAACTGGTAATCCTCTAAAGGACACACATGACCTCATTGGTTTCCCTCACATGGATTTGATCCTTCTTCAATCCAAAAAGTTCATCTCTGATGGTAAAATCAGGGGCTTGGAGAACTGCCATTACCATGGAGTTCCCTTGGTGAGGTGTAGGAATACTTGTTGTGAGAGGAATGGGATAAGTTGACTTCTGTGTTCTGTCTCTAGGTTCTGTGTTTCTCTACAGTCAGGTAATAAGCTCTAAAATTTGAAATCTCTGACACACTTATGGGAGTCAGCCAAAGCCATGCATCAAGTCAGCATCAGAATGAAAAAAATAAAAAAAGTTTCTGAATCACAATCCCATGGTTTTCTACTTTAGCAAAACTTTGAAACATGAAACTCACAGGACTAATGAAATACTGCTACTCTCCCCCTTTGTAAACAGTCAAGAAATTAAACTTTTCATATGAATTGATGTATCACAGTTGATAAAGCAGCACAGAGCTAGGATGACTCTGAACTTATGTTCCAGGTTAGATCCACCAAAGCCTTTCACCAGGTGAGTTCTTGAGAATAAGGAGTGGCTTCACTGGAGACAATGGGCTTAAGGATATACATAAGTGGTTTGCTTGATCCAAGCCTTAAGATCTATTTTGAAGGCTGCAGAAGTTAATAGGAGTTTTACAGCTTTCCTCAGAAGGCTTTAAACCTATTTAAGCTAAAGATTGTACTTCCAGCATACAGGAGGTTTAGTTATCTATGTGATTTATGTGCAAATATTTACCTGCATGATAAATAAATTCTATGGAATCAGGAGTGAACTTATTCTCTCATCTAGTATTATTCCACCATGAGGACAGCAGCTCTCTGCTCAGGATCTGAAAGGGAAAGCTTTTTTGATGGAAAGTAAGAATAATGAATCATAGAATGGTTTGAGTTGGAAGTGACCTTAAAGATCATATAGTTCCACCCCCACCTCTGCCATGGGCAGGGACACCTTCTACTAGACTAGGTTGCTCAAAGCCGCATCCAGCCTGGCCTTGAACACTTCCAGGGATGGGGCATCCACAACTTCTCTGGGCAACCTATTCCAGTGTCTCACCACCCTTATCTCTTCATAATATCTGTCCTAAATCTGCCCTCTTTCAGTTTAGAACCTTTACCCCTCATCCTATCACTGCTCTCCCCATCTTTCCTATAGTCCCTCATTAAGTACTGGAAGGCTGCTGTAAGATTTCTCCAGGGCCTTCTCTTCTTTATTTGCTGCAGGTTGAGTACTGCTGGAGATTATACATCAGTCCTGATACACAGAAATGGCCTTTCCTGACCACAATAGTGAAAATCTAGTCAGATTATAGTATGATGTTTCTCTCCAAGAACATTATTCTAAACTCTTGCTTATACTCCAGAGTTACTTAACAGTAATGAATTTAAATTAGTTTTAAACCAGTGCAAAAACATTTAGTTCCACTTTAAATGAATCTCTGTAGCAGTTTAGCTGAGAGGGAATTTACTTAAACTACTGTTACAAAACTGCTTGTTAAACCTAATGCTTGGTGTAAATCAACATTAAGTTTACATTTAAAATAAAATAAGAACATTCACTAAGTTTTACATCAATTTAACTAGAAGGTTTTTAAATAGCCTGGAAGTGAAACCAGATGGATGAGGCTTTTCTTTTTTTCTCCAGCTCTAAAAATATACTCAGTGAATTGCCTGGTAACAGTAGATTACCTTAAACTGCAAGTTGCTGGCAGGTCATGAAACAAGATTTTGTGGACAACACAAGGGTAAATGGCGTCACCTTCCATCACTGCAAAACCACCTGCCCTTTAGAAGGTCCTAGAAATGTGCTTCTAACCAATAAAAAAATAATAGCTGGACAGGATAACCTATTCAGAGATTACTTCAGGTGTCAACACTTTAAAAAAAAGTCTTTCTGAGAAGCTCAAAGAGACCAGACATGCTTAGCAGCATTCAGTTGGGAAACTAGGGAAGTTCTTAGTATGAAATTCTTGCAGCTGTTCTACCAACAAAGCCTTAAAAATGTTATCTGCTTTTTAGTAGTTTTTGCGTTCAGAAAAGGCAGATCTTCAACACTGTTTTCGGAATCCAGATACCAACTTCATAGAAATATTGAAAATTATCAGAAATGGCAGAGCTGATCACAAGGATAATACACTTTTCATGGGAGAACTTGTCAGGCAGTTTTGGCCTCTCCTCATACTAGATGACAACTGGTGATAAGCAAATTAGTGTAGTGCTATGGAAGCAATTGTTCTTAGAAAAAAAGCGTATTAAAAAAGGAACTCACTGAAGACGTAGCCAGATCTAAGACTTTTGGAAGGGACTAAATTCTTTTAAAGCCAGATCTACAGATGCTGAGGCAGGAGGTTCAAAAGCACACAGGAGCGTCAGCTGACCAGCAGACAATCCACAGCACAGCTGGCAGAGCTCCAGCATCTTTGTCAAGAAATCACTGGCAGAAGAATAAGGTGTTCTGCCTAACAAGCACTTTGAAAGCAAAACCAGTCTTGCTTTGAGGTCTCTATCAAAAAACCACAAAAGGATTGGCATAAAATTTCCTGTCAAGCCCAGGGTGACCTGATGTTAGCAAAGCCCGTGCACATGGTAGGTAAAAGGAAGGGAACTATTTTTAAAGTGGTCCAAGATATACGTTGGTGCACATCAAGTATAGTTTCTCTACATTTGTATGAAAGCTTTATATCATGAGATTTGGGAGAAAATATACAATCATTGCTGATAAGAGTTTCTAAACAATGCTTAATATGTCAAATGAGGATTAAGTCTTAATAGTGAAATAAACAGTGCTTACTTAGTTAATTTAAAAAAAAATTTGGAGGAATTTTTAAAAACTCTGTAAAGCATAACATTTTTATTAACAACAGCACCCCTGAGAAGAATTTAGGGATGGAAAGCAAATGTTTTTTATCTAAAACAATATGGAGCTTAAGACAGAGGATGAGATGCCCGGATATATATACAGGAAATGTTCTTCATAGTATCCAAGGTAATTTCCACAACACATACAAGCTTTTATTCTTTGTTCTATATTCAGATTTGAAAAGAGATACTGTCAGGTAGGAGGCTGTTCAGAAATGGGTTGCAAGAATGAAAGGAAATCTGTGCTACAGAACTGAGGACAAAAAGTGCTGTGCTCACCTGAGAAAGGTTGTAAGCTGACTTTATGCTCTGTAAAGAGGAAGATTTTTACGATGAAGTACAATAATCTAGTAGGCCAGAAGCAAAGGATGAGAAAGGATATTTATTGAATTTTCTCAATGAAAACATGAATATCATGAAATGTAAGTTTTAAAATGTAATGATTATATCAGAAAAAAAAACCAGGTATATAGTCTGAAAACTGAATACTTAGTAACTTTTCATTAATTATGTATTTCTTACTAAAGGATTATCAAACCTCAATAGACTTCAACTTCAGCATTTCCTTTAGGGAGGTCATGGAATTATGTTGTGATGCACTTAGATTTATTTTGCTGAATTTTTTGGGTTGAATTGTTATTAGGACTCAGCAATACATCGTGCACGGGGAAAAAGGATGACAACTTTTCTTGCCACCATTCCAAAGTATATAACTCTGTATTTAATTTATTTAAAAATAAAAAAAAAAAGCGCCCTAAATTATTTAACTTGTAGTACAGCCAAATTTCTTGGATTTCTATGTTCAAAGTTTCTAAACTTTAAAATCATGTGCTAATTTTCCTGTAGCAGATGATAAGTGCCCCTTAGGGATGACTTTCAAATTGCTTGGAAGCATCTGCAACGAAGTATTTTTTAAATATAGGTAGGGCCACAGTCTGGTATTTCTTTCTGAAAAGATGTTGCAGGAACAAGACAAAGCAGAATACTTGATTAGCACTCTGAAATGTATCACTTTCTGTGAAAGTTTTGCACATATAAAAGTGATCATATACTCCACCATGGTTATTCAAGTCAAAACCTGAATATTCTCACAGGAGTAACAGCAGGCTTTTGATTTGAGAGGAAATTCTTATTTTGGTTGAGGAGAAAAAGAAATGTTGTAATTTGATCCAGCTTTGATTAAGGTCTCAGTGTTAAGAGGTTTTAATACTGGTAATGGCCAAGTACCTTCAGTTCGTTATCTTCCAGTGCACACTGCAGCATTAAACATGAGTTTGCAAACATCTAGCAAAAGCTCCCATTGCTATTAATACCCAGTTCACTACTCTCAGCATATTCCAGCCCAGTAATAGCAGAAACTATTTAGCATTCATTCCTGCTGCAGCCAAAAATCACCTATCCATATAATACTGCCTACAGCTTAGCTATCACTACCTGTGTTTCATCAGACAGGCATTTTTTCTAATCATAATGCTTCCAAGGAATACAAAGTTCTGGACTCAGCATTTTACTCGGGTCAGTGCTCTACAGAATCAAATATTTTCTCATTGCCAGCTGGCAAAATTTCAGTGATTTCTTCAGATATTTCAACATAACTGCATTTGAGTTGAGCAGGCTCTTTTTTTCCCCATCTAGACTTGAACTGCACAACATAAAGGCACCAAACATTATTTTGCTCTCTGATTCCACATTAAGCACTTCAGATTTCTTCCAGAGGCCTGGAACTCTTTGGAAGCCAAGGGTTCCACAATGGTAAGTCTAAGGTTTAGATTTTTCCAGGGGATACAAATAGGTATGTGCTTTAAAACTGCAAAAGAAGAATATTTAAGAGAAAAAAATTAGTTACATATTTCAACTGTGGACATATTGTATTTAAAAACTGAAGGATGCAAAGGAAGTAAGACACCTCTGGGAAGATTACTGTGAAGTTTTTTCTTTATATTTGAATTCTTTGCATTTGAATTCTTTGCAGGAAACTGTACAGATTAGTCATTCACCTGCTGTTATCCTGTCCTCAGAAATGGTTGTAAAATCATTCAGAATTCTGTAAACCTTTAGGACCATGCTTTTAAAACCCATAAATGCAAAATAAAGTTTAAACTATAGTGGCTTTATAATGAAAGAAATGTATATTTTGTCTGTATATCCTGTCTGCTCTTTTCTTTTGATCTCTCAAGTTGTGTGCTGTTTCAGCTCTTCAAGCCTCCAAACGTGTTTGCAGAATCTGAATCAACAGTTAGGTTGAGGTAAAGAGATGGACAAAGTTTCTGGCCTAGTTTTCCTCTAATTTGTGCTCACGTAATCCCTCTAAATAAATTCCTCCATTGCTTCTCGTTCTTTGGCCATTCCTAAACTTTTGTCTTAAGTTATCCAGCTGGAGCAAGCCATCAAAATAACCCTGTGCTCTCTCATGCTTCTCCAGTCCCTCTGCCCCAGAATAACCATCATTACAAAGTTATGCAGGCTTTTTCAAAAGAAGGCTGGTTGTTCAGCAGGTCCTAGAGGACATACTCGAAGAACTCTTACAGATGTTTAGCTGTTGCCACCACTAGTCAAAAGGAAGTGTGTCTTGTGACAAGTGCAAACCTGTGTCTGTGTGGTTTAACAAGATGGCTCAGGTGAAGCTGAGCACACACTCAGATATTGTCCTAAGACACCAATTTGTATCTCTCTTCTCTACCCAGCCACCAATTTCAAAAAACCTATGTCATATCATTTTGTATCTTCCCACGTAAAGGAAAAAGTCATCATTGCAGTGAAATACCTGGAGTGCCCTTTTTCGCTATTTTCATGTCCACATAAGGTTATTTGTCATTTTGGTTCAGGTTCATTGACAGCTTTTGAAAACAGAGATAATCAATGTGGAATGAAAGTCATGCCATGGGCTCTATGCTTCTTTTACAGAAGAGCTTTCTGGCTTTCCTTGTTGCAATGGGCATCATCGTGGCCCTGAGTGATGCGCACTGCTTTAGTAAACGTTACAAGCCAGGGCAAGCCGACAAAGGTAAGAGCAGACAAGATCCTCCCCCTTGATTGCTCTGTAGTAGCTTGGCTCTGTGGAGCTTCCAGGAAGGGCTCAAAATACAAGGAAGAAGGGAGATTTCAGAAAGACACAAATAGGAGGTTCCAGCAATAAGGTGTCAAAAGTAGGTGAAAAACAAAGTCTTATCCTGGACTGAGTGTGGCTGCACAGTATTATTGCTACTGGCAGTAGGTTGCTATTGCAGCACCTGGAGCTGATGCAGGAGTTGAGAGTAGATCTGAATAAAATGTGGTGCCAGGTGGCAGACCTGGCTTTTTGGTTACTCACTTTCATCCCAAATCTGTCACACTGAAACTATCTCTAACAAGTAAAGAAGAAAAGAATTCACAGACTCCGAATAATTAGGGTAATAACCCAGAGAACAAAATTACTTCTAATGTAATAATGCCAAGAAAAACATTTTCAAAAAAGTTGAAATAGTTTTTAAACTTTTCAGCCTTTAGGTGGAGGCTTAAAAACATGTTCTGTTTTGCTGTTGTCTCATGCAGGCTGTATGCTGAATGGAAAACTGTACCCCCTGGGACACACTGAGAGGACAGATGATTGCTACAGATGCAGCTGCAGCCGAACTCAAATTGCTTGCTGCTCAATGTAAGTTTGAACTTCTTGGTACCATCACTGCCCATAGGACAAGCACAGCTTTCCATTTGCAGGGGATAAATGAGTTTCTAAGAGCACAAGAGAGCCTTTTTTTGCCCACATCACAGAGCAAGTGAAAGCCGCATGAAGCTCTTGCCATCCCGTGATAGGATCGCAGCTAAGGATCCTTAGCTCTGTTTACCTTGGCTCATTTTCTGCGACAAGGGGTAGACACAGAGCCTTCCAGGCACATCCAGGTGGTGCTTGCCTTGAATTTTCTAGGAGCTTGTGAACCCCTCTGCCACTGCAGTTAAATCTTTCCTTAGCTGAGAAAGGGAGAGTAGGATGGAATTTAGGAAGGAATTACTTTCACAAGTTGATTTTAATCCCTTTCTGAAGGGGCTTGTCTCCAGTGAAAATGCTGACCCTAGGATGACACGGTCCTGCTCTGAAGTATCTCTCCAACATCCTCCTTTCCTCTCATCCTGACTTCTCAAAGGGCCAAAATGGCTTGATAGCAACCTTAGCCTTTGTTTAAGTGACAATCAGTCCACGAGGAAACAGCTACCACCATCTAAGCAAATTGGAAATAATGGAAGCTTAATGGAAAAAAGAGAAAACATGCCAAGCTCATGCTTATGTCAGACTGTAGAGTGCAGCGCTAGAAATCCCCATGCTGGTGCTGAGCATCCTGATAGATGTGCACAGCACAGTGCAGCAAGGCATCATTTGAGGCCCTGGAAGCTGCAGCTGTGTTGCACTCAGGGTAACTCAGCTGGTCTTAGCCATAGTTTCAGAGATGTCTCACTCAGCAATAGTTCAAGCTGCAGTATTGAATGAAGTATATCAAGGAAGTATTGAAACTTCTATTGCTGTCAAGCTAACATTTGCCTTCTTCTCACCAATGACAGATTTTCTACTCCTGTTGCTTATGACAAAGAGAACTGTAAAGTTGTTTTAAACAGAAAAAGCTGTGACTATGATGTGGTGTACAAGAACGACCCCTCAAAGGAGTGTTTTGAAGTTAGACGTGTGGGCTAACACCTGCTCCAAACCTCTGCACTGTGGAATTGCTCCCCTTCCTACACCTGCTTTGCCATCACAGAGAAGTACAATGACATGGGAAATCTCATAGGAGACAGGACTTCAGTAGCTCACTTCTAATTTCCTACTTGTTCTAATTCAGCATACAAGATGCCTAATCACACACAGTGTCTTCTTTCTGCAATATTTGCCTGGGTGTTGCTGAGCTCTTTTGACTACAATAAATCCAGATGAAACATCCATCAATGCTTCATATTGATGATTCTTTTTCTGCAGTGACATGGGGCAGTGTCACCTTCTTTGAGAAAAGGATGCCTTTGCCTCACTCCTCTGACATGCTCTGCACCGGTACCCTGGCACAAGCCACTTTCACACTTTGCAGGTTCTGCTCTAGCCAGGTGTCAAAATCCATTCTCATTTGGAAGGGATGCACTGACTGGGACATGCTTTACAATGGCTCCTACTCAGGGCACACCTGAACTGCTGTAGGAGTTTTGGTAACTCTTTCTGTGCTGCTAACACTTGGCTGCTAACGTGGCAGCAGAGCCTGAAGCACTAAAAAAGGTCTTAATAAAAGTGCCTTTTATTAGTGTAAGAATTCTCTACATTCCCTGGGAAGTCCAGCTTCAAAATCAAATCTCCCACCTCGCAATAGGTAATATCCTAACTCTGCCCACATATAAGACACCAGACAACAATACCCTGCAAAATGCTGTTTTTATATGGGCTCTTTGCTTTAAAAAATGAGTAGTAAAAACCCCACACCAATCTGTTGTTAATTCTTCTGTGGTTTGAAAAGAAAACCGCCTTGCAAAACAAGTGGACTGTTTAATCAAGCTCCATGATCATAAGTCCGTTGTCTTGTAAAAGCATGAGATTACACACAGCTGAGCATTCTTAGGGCAGGGATCCTCACTGGTCCTAAATGACTTTTTCCCTTTTCTGACATTTCATGTCAAAATTATAGAGAACACAGCCTCAACTGATTCACCTGAAGGAATGTTTTCAGAGAACAAACAGCTGCAGCTTCTCACTAAGGGAAGTAATATTTTGAGCTTGGTGATCCAAAGACTTCCTACCTAAATAGCTCAACAGAACTGTTTCTAGAGCAAATTCGGTTTTCATATTTATGTTTTTTTTTTTTTTTTTTAAATTCTGGTTTTCAAGATAAAATGTTTTATGAAGAACAAAACTTACTTGGAGGTACCTCATGGATTATTTTTAATTTGAACCACTGAAAAGTGCACATGTCAAGATTAACACCCAGCTTATCAAAGTCTGGAACTATGCCATGTGATACTGAAATTATTTCAGGATTACAAGTTTTTCCCTACCAAGGTCTTATGAATTAAAGGCTACATTTTTCTTCTAAACATTACAAAAATAAGTCTATTTTCTCATAAATTCACCACCATACTCTTAATATTAGTGGTTAAAACTTTATGTTTTAAGTGATTTATAGATGCTTAGTTAATTTTTAAATTAGATCTCATTTTATTCTACTTGTCTCCTTATTTGGACCTTTATTGATTTATCTTTAATTCAGAGCTTTATCACCTCTAGGGTCCCAAGAGTTTCAGTAGCATCTGGGTGCCAGTTTTCTTACAGATGAAGACAACTTTCTTGGTGCAAGGAGATTTCTGATTTGCTGACAGCAAGCAGGTTTTGGGACTAGGAAGAACCAGCATATTTGACTACTGTGATGAGCACATCCTGACAGAAATTATCTGTGGGTGGGGAAGCCTATCTTCCACTGCAAGGGCATCACCTCCACCACATGTACTTGAAGCTGAATCTGAACCAGCTCAGCACAAACAAGAGCTGACACTGGGGAAGGAAGGAAAAAATGAATTCTGGTGAGTTTTCCAGGCCAGGGAAGTGTAGAGACTTGCCCTAGAGGTTCCAGAGTTATTTCTGATTCTATGTGCAGTATATTGGTTTTTCTATTGCCAGGGTAGCTGGCAATACTGAAACTGCCTTTTTTTTTTTTTTTTTTCCCTCTAAATAAAACAGTTTTAGCACTGAGGGTCAGGAGTCTTGAATCTCTCTTGCTATAAACTGGAAAGCCTGTCTACTGAGAGAGGAAATGCTCAATAGCGTTGCCACACGTACTTTTCATTATTTTTGGTTTTGGCATTCATGAGAGGATAAACCTGCAGGAAAGCAGGATGATCTATCACTCACCCTCTGTCTTGAATGCTTTTCATTGTTTGTGCACCAACAAAGATGAATGAAATTCATAGGGCAGAAACAGAGAGAGTTACCAGTTCTGTTTTCCATCCTTCACTGCAGAGAAAGAACAGACTCCAGGCTGCTCAGGGAATTAGTAAATAAGGTCCCCTGGGAAAATGTTTTTGCATGTGCTCGCGTCCATCAGTGCTGGTCACGTCTCAAACATCAACCCCCAAGAGCATAGAAGCAGCAATTCCCAAATATCAGAAGTCAAGTAGGGGAGGCAGAAGGCCGGCTTGGCTTAACAGGGGTCTTCTCTTGGAAACAAGGCAAAAAAGGTAGGTATATGGCTAATGGAAGCAAGGTCAAGTGACATATGAAGAATACAGAGACGCTCCTTGCTGCTGTAGGGAGAAAATGCATGTGGCCAAAGCTCAGTGTGAGTTAAAGCTGCCAAAAATGGGGGGTGAAATAAAAAGTTTTTTCAAATACACTAATGACAATATGCAGTATAGAAATATCATCAGCCTGCTACAGGATGAGGAGGGTCACCTCCCAGACAGGGAGAGAGACAAGGCAGAGGTGTTTAACACTTTCTTTGCCTCGTTTTTCAACAGAGATGACAGATCAAGGCGATCTCAGTGCCCTAAGCTGGAGGACCATGATTGCAAGAATGTTAACCCTGAAATTGTGTGGGATCTTCTGCTCCAGGTGGATTCCTACAAATCTATGGGACCTGATGGGATTCATCCAAGAACCTTCAAAGACCTGGCTGATGTCATAGCAAAACCTCTCTTAATGATTTTTGAGCAGTCTTGGGAATCTGGAGAGGTCCCAGCTGACTGAAAGCTGGAAAATGTTGTCCCAGTTTTCAAGAAGGGCAAGAAGGAGGGTCCCAGAAACTACAAGCCTGTCAGTCTAACTGCAGTGCCTGGTAAAGTTATGGAGAGGATTATTTTGGGAGGTACTGAGACATACCTGAAAGACCACAAGTCATTGGTCACAGCCAGCATGGCTTCATGAGGGGAAAGTCCTGTTTATCAACCTGATTTTCTTTTCTGACAAGGTAACCCACCTGGCTGATCGAGGGAAGCCAAATGATGTAATCTTTCTGGATTTCAGTAAAACTTTGGATACTGTCTCTCACAGGACCCTTCTGGACAAAATGTCCAGCACAGCTGGATAAACACATACTGAGGTGGGTGAGCAATTGGTCATGGGTCGAACACAAAGGTTAATAGTGAATGGGTAACATCAGACTGGTGACCTGTCACTAGTGGGGTTCCACAGGGCTCCATCTTGGGCCCTGTGCTCTTCAACATCCTCATAAATGACTTGGACACAAGCACTGGAAGGGATACTAAGCAGTTTGCAGATGATACAAAACTGGGAGGAGCTATTGACCCCCTGGAAGGCAGGGAGGCCCTGCAGAGAGACCTTGACAGATTAGAGGACTGGGCAATCCTCAGCCCTATGAAGTTCAACAAAAGGAAGTGCTGGATTCTGCACCTGGGATGGGGCAACCCTGGATGTTCATATAGACTCAGGAATGAGATGCTGGAAAGCAGTGCCATGGAAAGGGACCTGAGGGTCCTGATCGATGGCAAGTTGAAAATGAGTCAGCAGTGCCCTGGCAGCCAGGAGGGACAACCGTGTCCTGGGGGGCATCAGGCAAAACATCACCAGGGAGGGGATTGTCCCACTCTGCTATGCACTGGGGCAGCCTCACTTTGAATGCTGTGTGCAGTGTTGGGCACCACAATATTAAAAAGACATTAAGCTCTTAGAGAGCATCCAAAGCAGGGCAATGAAGATGGTGAAGGGCCTTGAGGGGAGGCTGTACAAGGAGCAGCAGAGGTCACTTGATCTGTTCAGGCTGGAGAGGAGGAGGCTGAGGGGAGACCTCACTGCAGTCTACAACTTTCTTGTGAGGGGAAGAGGAGGGACAGGCACTGATCTCTTCTCTGTGGTGACCAGTGACAGAACTCGAGGGAATGGCCTGAAGTTGTGTCAGGGGAGGTTTAGGTTGGATGCTAGGAAAAGGTTCTTCACCCAGAGGGCACTGCAACAGGCTCCCCAGGGAAGTGGTCACAGCACCAAGCCCAACAGAGTTCCAGAAGCATTTGGATTATACTCTTGGGCACATGGTGGGACTCTTGGGGATGGTCTTGTGTAGGGCTAAGCACTAGACTCTGTAATCCTTATGGGTTTCTTCAAACTTGGCATATTCTTTGATTCTGTTTTTATGTGAAACTAGACAAAAACTTGTTCAATTTCAGTAATATCCTCAGAAATCCCAATAGAACCTCTCCAAACCATAAATGCTTTTATGCTTCGTTTGTTTGGAAAGACACAGGAGAATAAGATTTTGCCATTTTTATATCCACCCCTCTGGGAAACAACACAGAGGCCATACAGGAGCTCCTTAGAAACAACACATTATTGTCATAGTATGTCCAAATTTCAGATTCTTAGGATTTTATAGCACTCAGATTCAATCAGTGACGTATATAGGATCAGAGCGTCATGGCAATACCACACATGTATTTAAGTTGCAACCTATTTCAAATTGTAAGGAATTACAAAAATAAAATGCTAGCTGTCATTTTGTGAAAAACCTTACATGAAATCTGTTACATTTTATACTCTTTCGGGTGGTGATTGGTGTTTGCTTTCCCAAAGAGGGGGAAAGCAATTCTCCTAGCACAGGTTTGTTCTTGGTATCTGATAAATTACTTTCAAGAAGTTATCCAAGACATTGTGGGGTTTCTACAGCAAGGTTTCCTGGGCTTTTTTCTTAACACCACTACATAATGCACACTGCCATTATGAACTAAACAGCCCAAGTGCCGTTCTGGTGAAAACTGTCAGAGATACAAGTCACAACAGCTCTCTTGGTGTTCTGTTCTAGTTGCTGCCCATCTTGAACACACAGGAAGGGTGTAAGGCAAGAAATGGGAGGAAGAAGGATTTTATACATTACAGTGGAAAACAGCAGAGAACAAAAAAAGATCCCAACAGCCAAGATATCTCTTGGATTTGGCTGTGGCTGCCCTTCCTAGCCCAGTCTTTTCTGCCACCCTTCCTATAGCTAACTCCTTAAGTCACAGCTCCACAAGAGCTCATAGATTCTCATAGATTTATGGTCTTCATTTGCTTAATCAGCTGCCAAGTCAAGATGACAAGCTGTGTTTGGAATCTGTTTTTCATTTGAGGAATAAGCTTTTGTCATTTTCCGGTTCACTAAAAATTTCTAAGATTTTTATTACTATATGCCTTGATTTGAAAGTTAAAAGTGCAGGTAAGATTGCAGCTCCCCTAAGTTGAGATATCTTTTTGGTTAAATCTGTCATTCCTATTCGTTTTGATTTACTGCCTCTGGACTTCTGCTTTCACTGGTATAGTATCTGTGGCCATTTCCCTCAGATCAACTCGCACTTTAGAGATGGAGGTCTCCTCGGTGCAAACACAGCCTGGCATTTGTTGTTGGCTCTTTAGATCTTCTTGTCTATCTCTATGTTCCTTGCTTATCACTGATTCTTCATCCTGGGATCATGACCTGACAGGATTTTCCAGGCTAGCCGAGAAATTATCATGCACTTTAACAACGCATTTGCACCAAAATGAAAACTTTTTTCTTATTCCACTGAAATTGCATTGAATTAAAACTGAAATTTGACTCATGGATGGGGACTTCGCTACATATGGAAGGAGACAGGTCTGTTAAGGTCAGAGGAGAAATGATATTATTGTCTCCAGCTTGAGCCTCCTGTCTTGAATTGGGACCTCAAATAAGTTTTTGCTCTGCCACCTGTTACCTGAAGCAAGTCACTCACACTGCCTTGCTATATAATGAATATGATCCTTTGCTAATGCCTATTGCTGGAGAGATCTGAGGGCATAATAGGCTTTGAGGTTTGTGGACATATGAACCTCAGAGTTAGCAAAAATGTCCCCACCAAGATAAAGCTTCCTTCTCCACCTTTACAAGATGTTTCTGTGTCAACAGTGCACTGTGTATTTTAGTGCTGTTTGCTTTGCCTTCCCTTAACACAGTTGTCCTTTCTTATACACAAACGTGACAGACTTTATTTAACAACTGTAAAACCAATTTACATCATACGTAGCATTGTCAGTTTAAGGTCAAGAAGAAATTTATACACTTGTGTTTATTTATGATCTGTGAGCTGAAATACCTCACTCCTCCTCTTGCTTTCCCTTTTCCAGTAGCGGTAATAGTTAACCTATTGGTTTTAATGACTGTATACACAAACTGCTATAAGGGGTCCTGCAGTTATTCTCTCCTGAAGAAAACTGATCCCTCTCAAGAATGTTAGAGAAGTACTGAAATGCTGGGTTAAGAAACAAGGTTTTTGGACTGCTTTCGTTTTTAGTGTATCTCTTCTAGCTTTCAGTTGTTCTTAGATAATAGCTGGTTTATTGGGCTGTTTTAAAAACATTACTGCTCTGAAATCATGCTGTATTTCTCTCCGTTGAGTGCCTAGCACTGAAAGATACAGGAAAAACAGGTTGATCATCTTGCATTACTTTGATTATTTCTGTGGTCATTAGTGAGATGTAACCAGAAACTCCAGCTGAAGAATGATGAAATAAAACAGCAAGGTAAACCCTCAAGTCTCCAGGAGTTTTCCTTGCCTTAGGAAGGAAGAGGACACTGTCCATCAGCCTAAGTGGAAAGAGGACACAGAAGTGGGCAGAGCACTGATATTCTTAGAATGTTTTTAGTAAGAAATTATCTGGTTGGGAAGCCAACGTAAGATTTCAACACCTGTTAGAGATACCAGTTCCCCACAGTACACCAGAATTGCTATATGACGGTGATTTTTGTTCACAAACTGCAGAGTGCTGCAGGGTGCCTGTCAAGCAAAATACTGCATACAAAGGTCAAAACATGTGAGAAGAAAAAAAAATTAAATAGTTCAGCAGTATTAATAAAATAAAGGCAGTGCAATTTGCCAGTCCTTTTGTTTCAGAATGTCATGGAGTGTTTGCTCCAGATTACTTTTGAGGACACGGAGGAGCTAACACCTTAAACAGGATTCTGTGGTACTTCCCACAGTTTTGTCAGCCCAAGTGAAACAGTTAATTTCAGCACATAAAGGTTAGAAAGAGCTGGCATACAAAGCTAGGGCACATCCTCAGGCATCCCAAGACGTAAATCAATTAGATCAGGCAGCACAGGAGCAGAACATGAGAAGGGAGACTATGAACTCTCCCTGTCTTCACTGCAACCAACCAAGGCAGCTTTGGCCAAGGATCTGGGTGTAATACTTTGCTATCCTGCTGTGACTTTTTTTCCTCCTCTCTAACAGGAAAATGCACATGGTCTGAAACACTGACAGTGAAACAAACCACAATGATGCTGTTAAATTGGCTTCATACATATTTGTCAGAGATCCAAAGTGGATATGTGGGCTCTGTTGATTTCAGCAAAGAAACTCCTAGTACCTGCATACATGGGCTGAATGTTCTGTTGGTTTACCAGTGATTAGGAGTCAAGGGCATGAACCATATGGCATGAACCATTTCAGGGCAGGGCATACATCAGCATTGCCAAATCCATTTTACTAGTGACAGACTGATTGTGGTCAGCAAACCTCCAGGGGCTTAATCTCTCTTCTGCATTACAAAGAATGATCTAGTAACTGAAGAAAAACCAATTTACCCAATCTGCTGAGTTGAAAGCCAGCTAATATGTCCCTGTAAATAGTGGTCTCACTGTGACCTACATTGTCACAATGCTGGCTTTCTCTCACGGATTTCCTGAGCTAGTTCTCAACTCTGGAGTTTGGGTAGAAGATGTGGAGTAGACAACCCACACTGGAGTTTAACCTCTACTCCCAAACCCACACAACAAGTCAACACAATTAGGGATATGGTTTCTACATGACTGAAAACTGAACAAGGAAGAAATCAGTTATCTAGGACCAATTTTTTAAAACCTAGATAGCTCAAACTAAGCGTGCAAATTTTGTTGTGAGTGATGGCTACTTTGTCTCTAATGGGTTTCTCAGAGCTAAATATTCCTTCCAAGCTTGAAATTCCCTTCAATGTACTTCCTATAAGTACTTTCCAGATCTGGTGTGGCACAAAAGCCACACCTATTTCTTCAGTGCCTGTTAGAACAAACCTTCCTGTATGTGGCTGCCTTATGTTAATAATGTCCACCCCATGAGGTAATTTTGCAGAAACATCATTGGTGTTAGACTTGCATGGTCAATTTGCTCAAGGACTGTTATCAGAAATTCCCTCTCTATATAAGTTCACTGAGAAGATGAGCTTCCTATAGGCTATCTATCTCCTTACTGGAAGCCTCATACTTCTGCAAGAATGGTGAGTCCTTACATCTAACACTGTAAAAGACTATGGTATGTTGGTATAGATTTTAAAGGAGTTTCTGTTGGATTTATCTCAGTACTTGGTGATCTAAGCAACTTGGAGAATGTATAAATTCTGTGTCATGAGAGCAAGCATAAGACAGAGAGGTGCAGACAGGTAAGAACCTTGCATAAAATATATCAGCATGTAAATGGGCAGGAGATGTCTAACAGGACTCCAGCTAAGGCTTTATTATAACTTCTTTTCACTCTTCATGTAATCTTTGAGCTAATCTCTTTCTGGCAAAAAGTGTCTCAACCTAGAATTGTCCTTCATTTTTTGTGAAAAGTCTGGATAGCATCTGAATATTTAGTTAAACTGACACATGTGCATACGTGTGTGTATGTGATTGTTTATTCCTTGTCTACCTTTCCTCTGTAACCAAGATTTTATATTAATCACAACTAATTACATCCTAGAATTCTTGCACTTATTCCTTTATATCCCCAGTGGAAGCCCTTCAAACACTTCAAACTAATGATGAAGGATAAGCTACTAGCTAAGGAACTTCAGCTGAATGTTCAGAAAAAAACTCTGACAAATGTCACAGAATATAGAATTATTTAGGTTGGAAGAGACATCTGCAAGTCATTTGGTCAAATCTCCTGTCCAAAGTAGGGCCAAGTCCTGAGTATTCAACTTGTTCCTAATCCTTCAATATTAAGGTGAAACATTTGGTAGTTCTTTAGACTCCAGTGAAAAAGTTTTTGCAACTGTGAGGTTAGTGAAAGAAACAGTCAGTGACCAATCCTGTGGAAAAAAACGGACAAGAAAAATTAATGGGGAGTGGAAAGGAATAGAATACACTTCTTTCACAAATAGTATCTGGGTCTATCAGTCCTGTAATCGGGCAATGCTCTATTTTAACAGTTTGAAAAGACAGATTTTTTTTTTCACCCTTCCACATGATGCTTTGCCTCTGCTTATTCTAAATGGTTCAGTATTCCTGACTGTGTGTTTAAGTGTTTACACTGCAAAAGACAACTGGATTTTGCTTTGAAACCACAATGTATTTGCCTGTTTCTAATGGTAGTATTTATCACCAAGACATCTTAATAGTTACTTAAACATTCATATTAATTGTGTTTTCTTGTTCAGAAAACCCTCTTGGCCTGCCTTCTTGTTCTTGCCATTAGTGTGCCACTGTCTGATGCTTCTTGCTTCTTTATGGCATGCAAGCCAGGGATGTCTGGTGGTGTGACTGTAGGTAAGATGTCAACTGCTCTCAACTTTAGAGATGTCATCAGAATCATTGCTATCATCATCAAATCAAGAATTTGATTTGTTCCTTCTGTGCAATTTATCAAAATTTAGAAATAAGTGGAAACAGTGGAAAGAAATCAATGGAAATGGGAGGGAAATGGGGTATGGTAAGAACAGAATTTATAATATGTTATAAAAAGAAAAAGTTATTTAGAGAGAATCACACAAACCAAATTACAAATTAATTTTGTCCAGGGAAGTAGCATGGGCTGTATGAAGTAATGCTGCCAAGAACCACTGGAAACAGAGGGACACAGGGCTCCCTTCTCCCTGCATTACAAAAGCATGCCCTGCTCGGCTGGGGAACCTCCATGTTTGGCAGATGGGGAGGTTCATGTAAAAAGCCAGCAAAGGTCCCACCCCTTTTGTACAAGCAGCACTGTTGATGCTGCAATGGCTCTGACACTGAAGGCAGCTCACACGCTCTATTTTCAGGCTGCCTTGACTGGGAAGGAGAGCTGCGTGAATTTGGTTCCGAGTGGAGGACAGATGACTGCAATGATTGCTCCTCTTCCAGGGATGGAATTCGGTGCTGCTCCAGGTGAGTTCAGAGCAGCAGTGGGGGTTTTCCTCTGCTGCCATGATACAGCACGAACCACCTCCCTTCACACAGAGGTTCCTGAGAAATGACCATGACCCTTCTCTCACTTCCTATCACAAAGTTATGCATTCATGTAACACCATCATCACTGAAGATGCAAAAATTTCCTCTGAAAAATATAGGTTGTGTTTAACAACAGATTCTTGATTTCAAATAAAAAGAGAATTTAATTCTTCTTGGGGTTAAAATTTCAGGCAAGTTGCTGGTTCAAGAGAGAACACATAGTTCCTTAACGAATTCCTATTGATCCTAGTCCAGATCTTTCCAAAGCCACACATTGCCCCACTTTCCCCTGAGAAGCAGCTCAAAATACATTGGCCTGTCTGTAATTTTTTCTACAGGAACACCCAACCACTCATAAAATTCTTGTTCCACATTGTGGCTGAAGAGGAGAAGCAGTGATATGGGAATAGCAAAGAAACAGAACAAACATCCTCTGTGTGTAAATCAGATCAGTAAACTACATCTGTCCCCTCATCCTGCTTAAGTAGCAGACTAAGTAAATTTGAGCTGGGAGCTTTGTGCAAGTTCCCTTTTCTGCTCCCAAACATCTCCTCAGTATAGCCTCTTCATATTGAATGTGTAGATACCATCTGAGGTGGAAGCTATTTGCTCCTTATTCTCATCACCTCTTTTTCTTTTCTCAATGACAGCTATGCAACACCAGTTGACTACGATAAAGAGAAGTGTGAAAGCATTTTCAACAAGGAGACCTGCTCTTATAAAGTAGTGGAGAAAGATGATCACTCAAAAGAATGCCCAGTCCATTCCTGGGTGGGGTAACAGAGAAGAATGGTGAATTGGGGGAATATTTCCTTTTATTGTTTCAAGGGTTCTCTCACAAATTCAAAACCACTCAAAAATGCAGTTGTGTGAAATCTACTCAGAAAACTCAACAGAAAATAAAACTGAATATCTACTCCCCAAAACCTCACTTGGTTTCTCTGCCTTCTGTTTCACCATGAGGAAAGAACTGACCTGTCCCTCCCTTGCGATCAGACATTAAAGCTGAAATCTTAATGTATCCTCAGTAGCTGCTAATCTTTATTCTTCTCTGCTCATTCCTCAGAGACAGGGAGTTTATTCTGTAATCTGTGCACAGCTGTATCTTAAAGCTAAAATAAAATCAAATGATGCATCGGAAAGTGACGTGACTTATTTTCCTCTTTGAACATGAAAACCAAAAGAATTAACGTTCAAAAAACCATGGGGAAAAAAATGAAAAGCTACTTCAAAATCTTTCTGAACACTCTGTTTTTCATGAAAATGTCTTACATGATTAACTTTTATCCTATATGGTTCCCTGGAGACCAAACTATTCACTGCAAATCTACCAGCTGCCCAGTCTAACCCAGCACCATACTTCCATGACACTGACAGCCCAGCAGAGCCAGTCCTCAGGCTGAGGTCTGGGTAAAAGAAAAGGTCCTTTATTCAGATTAACACTTAGAAATTAAAGTTTTTAAACTGGCCAATGGGCAGCATTGTGGTTGGTGGAGTGACTCATCTGGACTGGACCCAGATAGGGAAGAAGCTCAGCAATTCCATAAACAGTAACTGAGAGGGGTGTGCTTGCCAGCATAAGCTCTCCTTTGAGGTGCTGCTTCATAATCTTTATGGTACATTTATTCATTTGCTTCTTTCCAAAAGTGACCAGAAGCATCCTATGTTCCCATGTTCTATTTCTCTGTAATAACAGAAACAGTGTGTCAATGTTTCCATAGTTCCTCCTTTCAAGTTATGGAATGAGCGTATACCTGGTCAGTAGTGGCAAGTCCTGCTGTCTGCAGGGGAAAAGCAAACCTCAGCTTGTATCAGCCTTAACTCATGTGCTCCAATGAGTGATATGGGGATTACACTCTAGTGTTTTATTCCACCTCTACTTTCCTTTCTCTTTTCTTAACCTTGTTAGTTATACTTTCTTTCATTTGTCTGCCACATGCCCTCTTGTAAGAGGATCTGCAGTAACATACCTTCTACAATACCGTACATTTACTTCATTAAAAAGCTGCTAATATTATTGTGCAAATAGACTAAAGGTGTCACAAAGCCTGTAGGTCACATGAAGAGCAGTGACAATTACGTCTACTGAGAAAAAGGTAAGAGGGTTCCTGCATGATTCGAGTTGCATCTGTTCCAGTTTCTCCTTTCTTGGCTCACAAAAAGCACAGTGCTGGTTGAGGTTTTGTGCTCCCTATCAGGTGTCAACAGGCTACCCAGAGCATGAGCAAGATTGGGTTATAACTGAACCAATGTTCTTGTGAGGCCCAGGAAGATGCCAGATGTTCAGAGCATAACATCCAAAATAATCATTTGAGAACAAGAGATATCTCTTCCCTCCTTATCTTTAGACTGTGGGATTGTGATCAAGTACCAGAGCTAGTTTGACAATCTGACTGTTACAATCCCCATTTATTTTGTAGTTTACCTCCAAACTCACCTGACACCCACAACTGTATTAGTTTTTTCTAACATCTACACACATCTAGAAGATACTGGGACCTGCTTATGGCATATTTATGCAGACAATCAGTTATAGTGCAATGTGGAAATAGCTTTGTAACCAAATATTTGGACACATGATTAGTTTCTGTGATCAGATGTCTCTTAGTGACAAGAAACTATTTTGTAGAACTAGTCAAAAAATAAGATCCAGAGTTCACAATTCTATTCAGCAAGAATACAAACTAGAGAATACAGAGACTAAGAACGTAACAGTAACTGAGCAAGGTGTTTTGATGACATTTCTCAAGGCAGTCTTATAACTTTTCTCAGTATTTGCAGAGGCATTAATAATTGTGGTTTCTGTGTACAAGACAACAAGTTTCATGCAGTCTTCCAAAAGAGGAGGTGATTTTTCTCCTCTCCTTAGTTAATTCCGTTTGTGCATCATTAAAATCTGATAATTTCTTTTTCTCCAGTTATTCTGAGGGCATCAGTCTTTCTCATTCTGCTGCGGATCATGATCTGATCTCTGAATCAGAATGAAATTCACTGAAATCCATTTTTATGCTGAGCTTTTTGCTGCAAGCTCAAGTTTGGCAGTTTGAGTACTCTCAGATAGAGTAGAAGCAGATGAGGTATCCCATTACGTACTGTCCAGAAATTGTCCAGAGGCTGGAAGCATTACAAACCCTGATGTATTTTAGATATACTCTACCCAAGCGTTAAGGTGAGAGAAAGTTTAAAAATCAGCCCATTATTCTATCTTGCATCTTACAGGTGCCATCTGAGTGCAGGCAGGATTCATGTTCTCAGACATGAATCTTGCTGTTTACAGCAGTTAAAACATTCAGATTCACAGTCTGTCCTAAAATCCAATGAAAGAGAGCAAAAATGATTTGCCTGTCAAGAGAAAACGGCATCTCTGAGGCCACTCTAATTTTCTATAGTGGAATAGAGTGTGGACAGATGAATTTGGAGCTTGTGTAATAGTGCTCAGCCTTTTTTATACAGTATAAAGATTTTTTGCTGTAGTATCATCCTGGCTAGAGATGCAATTTGAGCCCCACCCACAAAGAGGAGCTCTTCTCCATGCTAGGTTTGTTCTTGCAATAATAAACTGCCTTTACACAGAATCACAGAACATTCTGAGTTAGAAGGGACCCACAAGAATCATTGAGTCCAGCTGTTAAGTGAATGGCCCATATGGGATCAAACCCACAACCTTGGTGTTATTAGCGCCCTGCTCTAACCTACTGAGCTGATCTCCTTAGACTCTTGCTCTCTAGTTGGTTTAATCCAGACTGTTTCTTGCTTTCCTCTAGCTATCACCTTTCTTATTCTAGCATTAGAATCTTGTTTTCCAGTGTTCTGGTCTAACTCATTGTTCTGGATGAGCAGCCCCGGTGCCTTCAGCACCAGCCAAGGACGATGAAGTCGGGTTACAATCGTTTTGGAACTGTGCTGACATACTTGCACATACAATGGCAAATCTCCTACCTCAAATACTAGCTTGCCTCTTCTGTTTCTGCTTCTCACTCTCATCTGCTTGGAAAACTCCAGACTTTCTGTTCACAAAACAATCTACCCCATATAATTATCCAATATAATCTAGCAGGTCAAGGGAGCTGATCCTCCCACTCTACTTGTCCCTAGTGAGGCCACATCTGGAATACTGTTTCCAGTATACTGGCTCCTCATTACAAGAAAGACAAAGAACTACTGGAGAGGATCCAGTAGAAAGCATCTCTCTTACATGGACCAGCACTCCTACTTGATCCAGAGCTCTTTAATCACATTTTAAATCCACCCAAACACCTTTCTTCCCCATCTGCCAAGTCTCCTTATGATACGTGGTTCTACCCTATGAAGAGGTAGGAAAGGTTCATTTCATGTCTAATCCAAACAGCCTCTGGGGGGCAGTCTGCTCTCCTCTTGCCTGCTCCGAGTTTCAACATAGAAGCAGATGATGTTACCTATTGCATCTAGTTTTGGAACACCAGAAGCACAGCGGGGACTTGGCTCCCTTCTGTAGCAAGGAGTCTAGCTGTGGGAAGATGACCAAACCCCTAAAAATCAAAAAAGCAAAGACAGAGCATACAAAGCTCTGCTTTGATCTTCCCACTTTTGTCAAGTTATGTTTTGTCTTTGTATTTCTGTATTTCAACATACACAGTCCCTTACAAAGAATACCTCCCTCACCTTCAAAACTACAGATCAGAACACCACTAGCTCCACACAGTGGAAAGAAAACATTCATAGGAAAGTTTCCTCCACTATCCTGTCAGGTTAAAGGTTTAGAAGGCTCTGCAGAACATTAGGAGGTAAATCAGCACAGGCAGAAGAGGTTGTGTGCTCTCTTCCCCTTAATTTCCTCCTTTCTTCCTGGTAGCACATAGCTCACCTGCTAGAAAGAAAGGCAGTTTTTGATAGCTGGCCCTCCTGTCCCAGTAATTATTTTCAAGGCAAGTTTTTTTGAGTACTGGAAAGCTGTTCTTGTCCTAGAAATGAAATCCAGTGCTTAGACCACAAAGTCTTTTAAACCAAACACCAGAACACACATATAAATCTGATCCAAATCTTCCTATCAAACAGTCTTTATCACCTGAAACTTAAAGGTTTTGCACTCATTCATGTTTTGTGTCCAATACGATTTTTGCCCCAATCTTAAAAAAAAAAAAAAAAAAAAATCCAACTTAAACAAGGAAAGTGCATATCTCATTTACATTGGGCATATCAAAGATGATAGAGATTTGCAGGTCACATTCTGCTCTGTGCCAATTTTAAAACCTCAGATAAATTCAATTCATGGCAATTTTTTTTTGCTCTGTTTGCTCTTAGTTAACTCTTCTACTGGTATGCAGGAAAGTTTGCATTGGCACCTTTACAAAGCCTGAACATTTCTGTTCAAATCTAACATTGTGTGCATGTTGCCTTGGGTCAAGCTGTGGTGTATTTGGGTTGAAACTGATTGACTTTATACAGGTATTTACATGAAACTGCAGAACATGCAAGTCATATGACCAATTTAAAACAATCAGCAAAAATGGGGTAATTTAACATTCCTTCCCACTCTCAAAATTCTCTTTTCACATTTCATTTCTTTCAGCACACCTCAAGCACTGACCCATGTTCTTCACACTTCTCTAGGCCTTCAATGCTTTTGCACAGTCAATGCTTCAAGTAGATGTCCATTAAGGACCACTGATAAACTGCAATCCTTTGCCACCGCAAGATGATAACCTCCTTCAAAATATCCCAGTATTTTCTCCCCTGTAATTCCAGAGGCTTCTCCCCTTGCTGCCCTGGTCTGCTAAAGATGGGACGAGTCTACAGAGACAG